TACAGAACAAGTGAGGAGTGGAACTTGTTGCTGAAAGTATAGTCCACAAATATACTGGGCTGATAGCTATGTTTTCAATTTAGTGCAGTAGACTATAGTAATACTTAAATGAACTTTTTGACTGGAGCATAAAGAAATGTTATCTGATTCCCTGAGCAAATTTTGTAGGAAGGAGTGCATGATTTTTATTTTTTTTCCTCAGCAGTTACTAACAACTTCAGGTTTTAATTAATAGTTTTTTATAGGTTCCCTAATCTGACAGCGTACTTTATTGAAGTCAAGTACGGTGCTTCAGTTGGTTAATTGTATAAATTCCACTACTTTGTTGAGAATTTCTTAAACTATTGTTGTCCTGAAAGCGCAACTAAGACAACCTGTTTATTTAGGTGGTTCTTTCTAAAACGGTCGATGTGGTAGCATGCCTTTAGTATCAGCCGTGCTGTTGTGTGACTTACTGTGGTATGGCACGTACAGGTCCAAGCTCACGGTGAGCTCCCTGCCAGCGCGCCTCGCAGTGCAGCTGAGCGCCTTGGGCCTTTGACGGGTTATTCAAAGCAAAGAAGGAAAATGGGAGAGGTGCACGTGTATGTAATTCAAAAAGGAGGGTTTACTTCATCACAATTATGTAATTCAAGATTGTGTTTCTAGCTGTGGCCTTTATCTGGAAGGTTCTTGTGTAAGGAGAGGAAAGATGCTGGGTCAGAAATGATGGGAATTGTAATGGTCTGAGTAAGCACAGTGCAGAAAATACCAATAGTTGATGTAGCCGTTCTACCAATACGCTTGCATACTTGCAGTTGCTTGCAACTGTCCCTGAATATCAGTCTTGCATACATCCAGCCTTTGATTCTGAGGGCAACCTAGCACACAATATAAAATGTAGTGCTTTAGGGCTATCTTTAAATTAGAGGAGCAAGGAGGAGAGACCATCAGCTTCAATGCTGGTGAACAGTTTACAAGTTGAAGATACAGATTCGTAGGCGTAGGAGAGTGATGCCTTAACTGAAGGACTCCAGATTTAAATATGTGCTTTAAATTTAAAAGTGCAAAATGTTTTCTTGTAAACATGCAGTTCATCAGTTCATGTTCCATAGGAGCAATTTTTAAGTTTCCACTGTACTTTTCCGAGACCACCTGAATACTGTTTACAGATTTCATGTCATATAGCACATAGGAATTCCTGAAAATTTGTGATGGAAATACTGCATTTCTGGTACTGCATCGTACCTTTCAGTCTGTCAGTGGCTGCACAGCACTGAGTGGGATGTCTGAGCATATCAAGCAAATGTATGAAGAAGTGGGGTAGGGGCTTGATTCTGCCTTCTCTGGCCCTGCTATACATTTGGACAGTTTATAGCATTCTGCAGCTCTTGATCATCCTGGGATGCATGTCTGACAAGAAATACATATTGTCAGCTCAGATAAGAGTTTATTTGACTTTAGAGGGTTGTTCCTAGGCTCTTCTCTCTGCAGTGAAGGACTAGAGTATAAAATCTGATTAAAAATTGGTTGCAACTCAGCTGTAGGGAAGTTTTGAAGCCTTGTAAGCCATGCTGTGTAACATTTTATATGCTTCTGGTTTTATATGTTAGATTTGATCTTTTATTTTTCTTCAGATGATTGACATGAAGTATATTTCCTTATTTTATTTTGCCTCAAGAATTGTTTTCAATGAAATTGAAAGCAATATTTCTCCGTGCTGATCATTATTAGAAAAAAGGTTGGGTTGGGTTTTTTTGCTAGCCTGATAAAGCTGCTGCTGTGACTAGGAGTCTTTGTTAATGAGCGTTAGGGTTATGGCTAGTTACAGAAATTAAATATATGTTGCAGAATGAAAATGGTAGTTTTGCAGAAAAAATTGTGATCTATTTAAATGAAAGTATTTTTATTACAGAAGGATTTTTGGTAGTAATGTAACTTCATTAAGTCTTCCCCAGCAGAACAGGCTGATATTATTTGCTCTGGTATTTCTCCTCAAACAGCCTGGTGTTAAATTAACACCAGTGATAGTAACTTGACTTGATGTGTGTTAGTCACTATGTTGGCAAGGGATAGGGCATCTGTGCCAGTAAATTTTGAGAATTTACATACTGTTGCAGGCTTTCCTAAAGAATGTGTGTGACTTTTTCTGTAAGATGATTGACTGTGTATCTTACCATTGCTGCTGTTAATGATTGTCTGCTGGCTACCATTGTTTTCCCTTCTGATTTGCATCTAGTGCATGAGTCTTCTTTTTAGAGGCATGAGTGAGGATGGGTGGAAAAATCTATTACGATAGGGTTTAAAGAAAATATTAAAAGCCCAGTTTGGTAGTTGCTGAAAAATTTTGCATCTCCCTCTCCCCCAACATGATGAATTATAATTAGGTGTAGACAAGGTTGAAATCAACAGAGAGAACAGTACTCTAGACAGCTAACAACAAGAATCGACGGAATGGTCCTTTCATATACTAAGGATTTTCTTAAGCATCGTTTTTAAAGCATGTTCAAATTTTTTTAAGACTTAGTGCAGAGAAGCAGATATTTTCTTTTTTCTTTTTTTTTTTTGTGCTCTGTCCCCCAGTTCAGAAGTTTTTTGTAACAAAATTGTTGCATTTGTTACTAAATTTTATTAAATCTAGGGCAGAAGCTGGGGGATGTTCATATTCTGATTCTGAAGGGGTGAACAATGAAAACTTGGCGGTCTTGCAACTCTGCAGAGCTTTGCAAATCGGTTGGTACCTGCAGCGGACTTCCTGCTTGATCATTTTTCTGTCACAGTAATGTAATCCCACATCCCCGACCAAGCCAATGAACAGCATGATGATGGTACTAGTTCGAGTGCTTGTTAAAACACCGCTGTTTTTTCGCTTTCCAAACAGATATTAGTCATGGCCTTGGGGGACTTGCATTTTTATGCTGTGGAAAAAAGAAGTCAGCAAGAACACTTTGTAATTCCATGCTTATTAGTGACGACTTTTCAACAGATGGGAGAAAATCCTGTTGTTTTTTTACCTGAAAGAATTAAAAATTCCATCCAGGACATGCAATTTCAGGCTGTTAAAATCTGAGGTGATAAAATGCCTTTGAAAAATTCATAATTTGAAATTTAAGCTCACTTTGAGAGTGTGTTAACTGTAGCTTTTATAAATGAAATATGGATGTGAAAGCTGGTCATAGCTTCCTTGGGGCTGAAAGAAGACTTGGCTTCTACACAGACAATTGCTCTTACGAAATTCTTCTCTTGTTATTTAATTAGTTCTTCCTCCTGAATTTCAGAAGACTGAGTAGCTTGCTGTTTCCAAGAGACAGTATGTGATGAAGAACAGCAATAACAAGAATTGTGATTGATATGCTGCCCTTCCACAGTTCAGCAGAAATCTCTGAATTTCCAGTAAAAGCATGTAGTTAGAATTATTTTCTGAAGAACAGAGCTGGTTTTAGGTATCCTCGTATAATTGATATGTGCGTGGCTCACAGGTCTTTATAGCTTTTGGGTTTTTTTCTCCAGGATTTTTCTGACTGAAAAGAATTTCAAATACGGTTTTGTGTGAGTTCTTTCAGTCTTTGTGAAAAGAACTGGGTTTGCTCAAGGAATGGCTTTGCCTTTAGAAGTGGTTTCTGGTGGTCTTCCAGTTCCTGCCCCTTGGCTTGGAGCAGCCTGACAACATGCTGGCTGAGGTCAAGTGAACAAGCTTAGAGAAGCTTTGCATTACAACTCTCTAAAAGATTTCTGCAAAATTCACCCCAGAAGTCTTCATTTTGCAATTCATGCATTTGTTTTGTGATGCCAGTAGTGTTAATTAACACCACTTCAGTGTTAGCACTCAATACTCTGAAAGAATCTAAGCGTTCTGTGAATACTTTTACTATTCTGAACCAGTAAAAAAGCCATTTTCCTTAATTGATGAAAGGTTTCTTTTACTGATGAACCGTTACTGCAAATTGTCAGTAATGACAGGTATTGTGTACACATATCCCTATAGCTTAAAATGTCTATTGAGGGGTAATGTAATAAGCACGGGCCTTTCAGAAGTTTAATTAGTGTTTACATTTTTCTTTAGAATAAAGCAGTCCTCCTAATATTACCAGGAAGAATGTGTTTAAAAACCTTGATCGATATGATTTGTTCAGTTGTCCCTCAATGACTTGGTTATCTGACAAAACGCTGCACGAAGTTATTAGAATTATCCTGGATCACTCTTGAATCAAGGGTTTGTGAATGTGATTTCTGTACTTGCTTCCTCCAGTTCAAAATGGAAGGCTCTGCTGCTTAAATTACTGGGTGCCAAATGGAGTGAAGTCGTAATTCAAAATAAATATCGAAAGAACTGCACCACAATGTGACGGGGTTGTGCCTGTGAACCTTTAACAGCCAGCTGGAGCATGTTCTTCTCTCAGGAGCCTGGGTGGCAAGCGTGGGAGGTGGCTGCCTGTCTGTCTTGCCTGTCTGCTCCGTGCGGGGTCTGGGAAAGCCTCCTGGGGGTTCCTGAGACTCTTCCCGAAGAGCAGCGGAGCGTGCTTGGGTGGAGGAGGGCTGCTTGTAGCACAGGGTTAGGCGGACACTGGGGCTGTGCCCAGGACGTCCCGTCAGGAGGCCAAAAGCAAGCAGATACGTATCTGGGCCTCAGGTGAGACTTGTCCTGGAAATTTTGAGTAGAAATTTTTCCTTCTTGCTACAGCACAAAGAGTTCCAAAGGGACTGGACGGGCATGGTAGGCAAGAGAGGAGAGCAGTTTGCAAGCTCTTTGTGAAGAGTTTGGTTTAGCTTGTGCACTAATGAACCCAGTTGGGTTTAGCAAGTTAGGCCTTAAAGAATAGGGGGTAGCAACAGTGCCTTAAAACTGCTTATGTTTGGGTCCCGTTGCAGAAAAATAATCAGAAGACATCTATTTATGGAATCGGTGCGCTGGCTTTGTTTTCCTGTGAAGCACAGGTTAACCACATGGTGTCTTCTGCCTGTGTTAATATGTGAAATGCAGGTAGTCAGCAAGGTTCACAGGTATCCGATATGTTTTTCAGAACTTTGCCAAGAATATTTTTGCAATTCTTCAATCAGTAAAAGCCAGAGAAGAAGGCCGAGCACCTGAGCAAAGACCTGCACCAAATACAGCGCCAACGGTAAGAGCAGCACTTTGGTGAATATGAAAGCTGTGTCTTGTCGTTATTAAATAGGAAATTTGTTTTCGTTTAGTTCCAATGAATGAACAACTTTCAAGCATAACTTCACAGATATTCTTTGACTTAACTTACATTTATTGGCATTTAAAGAGTTGAATATTTTAGTTTAATTTGTTCAGTGTGTTCTTGTTACTTGGAGGTTGAACTGCTAGTGCCAGCTTCTACATCTATCAAACATTAGCGACATCCTGCATCTATTTGCAAAAAATGTATTAGATGAGACTACTGCCATTTCAAACAAAATGTTTTGCTGTTTTTCTGACAGATAGGGTAGCAAATGTTTAAGAATCTGGAACATGACTCATGAGTGGGAACAGCTTGAACCAGCTTTCTTTTGCCTGTAATAAATCAGGACGGCAGACTTAGAGCTTTATTGTTTAAGTCTATCCAGGTATTAGACAGCATTTGTTTTGTGTCATGGTGTTTACTATGGAGTTCTGTTAAACCTAATACATTCTTCAACTCAGTGGCAGTATGCTATAAAAGCTGTTTAATCATACTTGCATTTGTATTTGCTGCTGCTGCATTTAACAAAGAACTACATTTAAATAGCAAGATGAATTCTGATATTTAAATATATGCTTTGTGTTGAGTTTTGTAAATTGTGCACAGGACTATTCAAGTGTCCCATTCAGCATAGTTGTGAATGCATACCTAAGCCGCCCACAAAAAAGAGTGAATTGGATTTAGTGTGCCTCTAGATCAGTGTTTTCTAAAAACTTTTTTTCCCAGAATGCGTTTTTTCCTCCAAATTTGTTTGTATTCTGTAGGGTTAGCAAAATTTTAGCTTAATCAGGCTGGCAAGGAACATTTTGTGTGTATGGCTGAAGGCTTAATCATGAGTTGTCAGTTGACAGGTTTTTTTCCCCCGCTAATTCTTGAGAGATTACAAAAAAGCAGTAATTTCATAAAACATACAGATTTTAGCTAATGTAGTTTGTTACTGCTACTTTAGTTTTGCCTCAGGTGGTTGTGATTACTTTCAGTATGTACTTCTAAACTCCCTTTCTGTGAGATTGTAAATGGGTGTGGAAGGGAAACGTACAGAAATTTTCAAGTGAATGAAAACTCCTGCAAAAGTGAACTGATTTTATAGTCTTGAGCAATTCCATGTAATACTTTATGAAGTTCAATAACCATGAAGTATCTTTATGTTTTACAAGTTTATTTAACCTGTTTTAGGATCCCACTTTACGAAATAAGCAACCTATTCCAGCTGCCTACAACAGATACGATCAGGAAAGGTTCAAAGGCAAAGAGGGTAAGTTGGTTGTAATGCTGCTTTTGAAAGAAAAAAAAAAATGAGGAAATGAAATGAACGAGTTGTAAAGTTCAGGTTAGGGGATTTTCTGTGCCATTACTTTTCAAACTTAAGAAAAGACCAAAAGAAAAGCTGTAACTATCCCTAAAGATAGCTGCTCCAAATACTGATGTGTAAAAATACTATTTATTAGAAATTATTTCTTCCTCTTACGAAGCAAACTGAAAGCTTAAAACCAGAACGTCCTGGGGGAAAAAATAAGAATTATTTGTTTGGGGAAATTCATATGCAGTTAATGAAAAACACAACTGCAGATATGACTGTCAGGTGCATAAAATGAAATAGATTGCCTGTCCTCAAACAATCACAATTTACAAGTTGCTTCCAGTAATTACAAATAAGTATTACTAGCTTGTTATGTCATTTTAAATTACAAAACAAACTGGTAACTACAGTGCAAAATATTAGCTCCCTTCTGGAAAGAAGATGTAAATAATCTACACTATTTAAGAATTTTCACTTATTTTAAAATGGGGTGGAAGGATGAACTTGATGATTTGTCTTTCTAACTCAAAATTTTTCTTCTGTCCTCCTTGCTTTTTTTATCTGCTGTTTTAGTACCAATTCTAGTTATTTCATGTTCATGTCTTGCTGTGTTTTTATTTCGCAAATCTTATGTTTGTTGTGGTTGGATGTTTTTGCATTTGTTGCAGAGGGCAAGGTAAATTTGTTACACTTCCGAGTAGCCTTTTTCTTCTAGTTCTTAAATGAAATCATTCTCTTTAATGTAACTTCCTATGCTTGCTTCTAAGGGTTTTCTTTTCTGGCTGCAAGAACTTATGTGCTGCTAAATGCCATTTTAAACCGTAGATGAGCAATTCAACTTGCATCTTTTGGAGTATTTGGCTTTGTCCAAGTTAGTGCCATTTTTGTTCAGGGAAACTGGATGACGTTCATATGCTGTGTATGTGAATTCTCAGATTTTGTGGAAGTACTGTACTGTACCTGATCACGTTCAATTTTATATTGAAGTGACATGATCGTTTTTTGCTATATAAATAAATAAAATGCAAGAGTATATTACAGTACTACTTGGATATTCAATTTTGATTTCAAATGGAGAAAGAAAAGTATAGAATATAACATCAAGGAGAATTTCATGCCATGAGAAATTTATGAAGGTTGTTTTCCATCCACCTCATAGTGGATAATGTACAAGAATTTCAGAATCTGACTGTAGGCATCTGGTAAGTTATTTAAAAAAAAAAAAGTTTTGTAAGTGTGCACTGCATGTGAATACATCCTTTAGGTTTATGGGGGTGGTGTCTGTGTGTGTGTGAAACTTACTATTGGAAATTTGATCAGATACTCTATTCTCTTGATTCCCTGCTGGCCTCAGTATACCTGTATTTCAGTGTAGTGGTTTTTATTTTCTACTACTCATTGACAATTGCATGGGGGGGGTAAGAGAAGAAAGCTGAAGCAGGATATTTGCTAGCTTTTTCAGCACTGAGAAAGGATCTACAAATAGCATCCATGAAGAATTCATTGTTATAATAAGAGCCAAGAGAATTTGGGAAAGAAAGGAAGAAAAAAAAAATAAACCACCAAACCAACCCTTCCATGAATAGTTCTACTAGTACTTCTTCAGTTGCTTCTGATAATATTTTAAGTCTTCAAGACTTGCATATTTTCCAAGTAGTTTTCCTTTTACTACAATTTCCTGTTAAGATTAAAAAATAGTAAATATTTATACTGGACAGTATGAAGTAAAAGATGGAGAAAGAAAATAATGGAGAAGTGTAACAGTTCAAATGTACCAATGCATATAATTCGTTGTGGACTCTTTTACAGCAAGAAACTGAGGTAAAGGAATGGTCTGTGTCCTTCTAGATGACAAATTACATAGTTCTAGTAAGAAACCTGTGTAGACAACATCTGTATTAAACAGATGAATGTATTTTATGCTTTTACTGCATGTGTGCAGTTCAAGGGGGAACAGAAAATCACGGGTTTTGTGTGGCAGGAAAACAGAACCCAGAAGAGTTTCTTGAGCAGCTCACCAGGGCAGGTTTAACCTAGAAATTTCTGAGCAGGAGTCAGAGAGGAGATTAAATGACTGTCAGCGAATCACAGAATGTTCGGGATTGGAAGGGACCTCTGTGGGTCATCTAGTCCAACTGCCCTGCCGAAGCAGGGTCACCCAGAGCAGGCTGCACAGGACTTTGTCCAGGCAGGGTTTGAAAATCTCCGGAGAAGGAAACAAAAAACATTTCTGCCTGTATTTAATATGGTGAAAAATCCATTTGTATGTGATGTGATCCTGAGAATGCGGTCTTGGGGTTTCTGTCAGTGCTGAAATGGACCGCAGCTCTTGTTACAGCTGAAGGTTCTTTTGTGGTGTGGTGGTCATACAGTGCCTGAAATCGCCATACTCCACCTGGGTAGTTATCATTATCACTCTGCTTCTTTCTAGGACATGTTTATGTGCCTTAACTTTCCAGCTTCTTCCATTGGGTTGGTCACATGTAAAGTTAATGTTGTATTTCAGTTTTCTAGGTCTATTTAAAGAAGTACATAGTTTAAGAATAACACTGGTGTAATACCAAGTTAGATAAGTGTATGCTAGTATTGGAAATACAAATTGGGTGTTTGAAAGATTGAGAACTGGCTGAATGGCAGACCTCAGAGGGTTGTCATCAGTGGCACTGAGTCTAGTTGGAGGCCGGTAACTAGTGGTGTCCCCCAAGGGTCAGTACTCGGCCCAGCCTTGTTCAACTTCTTCATCAACGACCTGGATGAAGAGTTAGAATGTACCCTCAGCAAATTTGCTGATGACATCAAACTGGGAGGTGTGGTGGATACACCAGCAGGCTGTGCTGCCATTCAGCGTGACCTGGACAGGCTGGAGAGTTGGGCAGAGAGGAACCTGAT